GTTATGTGCCAGATGGCCTACCTTCTTACAGTATGTGCAGTATGGCCTGGTGTCATAATTTCTTTCACATCTTCGTAATTGTCTCCTAATGTTGGTATCATAGAATAAGCAAGTTGGGCAACTGTTTCTGTTGTCATAGCTGTTTTGAAGGCACGACAGCCTTTTTTTTGGAGGGGGAGAAGGAGGAGGGAAGAGAGAGAGAGACCAACTGGACTGCAAGACAATGATAATGAAGTACAATCATAATATCGATTGTTGATCACAATGACGATTTAGTGAGTGATGAGTGACGAACGAGAAGGCTGGACGACGGGTTACCAATCTGAAGTGAACGAAGAATTAGGCTTGAAATTGATTGGCGCTAATCAGCACCCAGCTATAGTTTGACGCTGGTTATTACCCGGCTGCAATTTGACGCTAATTAGCGCCCGGCCGCGGTTTGACGCTAATTAGCGTCCAGCGACAAATTTGGCGCTAATTAGCACCCGGGACTCTTTTGGTGCTGATCAGCACCCAAGAACGGTTTTGGCCAGCGACCATTTGGTGCTAATTAGCACCCGGCAACATTTGGCACCGGTTGGTGTCCTAGTTCACTGGACGCTAATTAGCGTCGATGATCGTGGGGACCGAGCCCCGGAACGAAGACTGGTTTTCAAATACGAAAAAAATGCCCTAGCTGCTTTTTGCTGCTTCTTTTATACTGTTTGAATTTGAATGTTCCACCCCTTTACCAAGGTGATTGTTTGTCTTCGCTGATCTCGGCCGATATCAGCTTTTAGATCAGCAAATATATTCCTTTTGCCTTGAGAAATTTTGATGTTTATTAATTTTTTTTTGATTAAGAGATATATTACCTTAATTCGCTATCACCGCGACACTCCCGCGACGAGTTAATGATGAGTTTTGTGAGGGATAACGACGCTCGACGTTACCGTTGGCCGTTTTGTTCCTCGCGACCTGTCGCCGGGGNTTGGTGGCGTCAAGTCTTGCCCGAGCGTCTTCGGTATTTCCCAGTTCAAGTTGTTTTGGCTTGACGTGGAACGATCGTCTTTTTGCTTGTCGGCTTGTCGCTCATAATTGCCGGCGACGTCGGTAGTTGGTGACGTTGGCCGCTTTTTATACAACCGTACGGTATGTCCGTAGTACTCGTGTGGAAGCGCGTAGCATCGTTTGTGTTCCAGTATAAAGCGAGTGTTGTTAATTCGGATATCAGCAGTCCGGATACGTTCAAAAAATTTATCGGTTGCATGAAGGCGTTCCTTTTTAGTTGAGCACGACTCTTTTGCTGAGGTGTGAGCGCGATGTGACACCAGTGGAAGGGTCCGGACATCCTGTAATCAAACTTTTTGAATTGCAACATTGTGCTCGCGTTAAACATGTGGAACGTTTGTCATCAAGAATATAATGGTGCGACGATTGTCGATGAAATATACTGTTCCGACAATTGTCGGATAAAAAATAAACAACATGAGGAGAGATAAAATGAATGAACAATGAATAGCGAATGGTTGAATAATGAAGTCCTGATTGTCAGGGTAAGTGTTCAGTGGTGTATGTGAAGTCCTATTGTTGGGCTCAGGTGTGATTGGCCTGGTAAGGCCAGTCGAGCTATTGTCATTGTTATCGCGTCGAGGCTTAGCTAAGGCCATCATTTCCTTCAAATATTGTGTTATTCCACTTAATTGCTGAATAAATGAAGACAGGCCAGAATTAATCTCAGTGGTTAGATTAGGGTTTGCACGGGATCCCGAGATCCCGAGATTTCAGTTCTGATCCCGATCCCGGGATTTAAGTTTTGA